AAAAAACACAGATATAATTCTGAATGATCAACTTGAGACAAACAGTTCTCCCCTCCTCAACCTATTTCATTAGAGACTATAAATTTGTAAACCCAAGCCAAAAATAGATCACTTGAGAAAGGCAATCAGCCGAAACAGCTGTAGTGATAAGATTTAAAATAAATTTTGTGGAAGTTTGAAAACAAAGTTTTCATTGTTTTATTGCTACAATTTTCTCTATGTTTATTTATGATTGAATTGAGGTTAGTTTTAATAACAGCTGGATTTGTAGAATGATGGTCAATATTAAATCAATCAAAATAATATCCTTTCTTCTTGAAATGTAATTATAAATATTATTTTGCTTTAGAGTCCACTCTATTCACAGACAAATTACAATACAAACCCCCAAGAGGGACGGTCGAATATTTCGCGAAATTTCATCATCATCATGTAACCTCCTCTGTCCACTGCTGGATATAGGACTCTTCCATTTTTCACCACTCTTCCATATCTGTGCACCCTGTTGCCATTTTTTGGATATTCGTTGAATGTCCTCCATCCAGCTTGTTGGTGGTCGTCCTCTGCTGCATTTGTCTTCTCTTGGGGGTCGGCCAATTAGTTTTCTGGTGAATTCTGAGACTTTTAGTCTCGCTATGTGACCTGGCCAATTCCATTTCAGCTTGACTATACGTTCGATAACATAATATCTGTTCTTTTCCTTAAGTATTGATTCCTTATTTTGTCTTTTTTTGTCACGCCTAGAATAGATCTTTTTTCCATGCGCCTTTATGCCACTCGCATTTTTAGTGCTGTTGTTTTTGTGAGAATGAGAGTTTCTGCTCCGTATGTCATAATAGAAAGAACGCATTAGCCAAATGTCTTCCATTGAATAGCTATCGGGATGTTGTTCTTAAAGATGTCTCTTAGTGAACCATACGCCGCCTAAACAAGTGTTATTCGCCGTTGAAATTCACAGGTTTGATTATCCTTCTAATTGCATGACCGAGATATATGTACTTTTCTGTCAATTCTACCATTTGATTTTGAATGGTTAGGTGTTCGCTGGGAACCAAATCTGTCATAAATTTGGTCTTACTGATATTTATTTTTAGACCTATTTTTGAAGATACGTTTTCTAATTGTTGTAGCACTTGTTGTGCTTTACGCAGATCTTCGGTAATAAGTACTATATCGTCGGCAAAACGCAGATGATTGAGCATTTCCCTGTCTATTTTTATTCCTCTATTTTCCCACTTTAGTATTTTAAAGGCATATTCGAGGACCGTTACAAATACTTTAGATGAGAGCGTGTCGCCCTGTCTCACACCTCGGTATAACAATGAGAAAATCAAATTTTTCCATGAAAATATTTAAAAAAATTAAAATAATAAAATAATCAATATTTTAATGCCATATTGTAATATTGTTTAATTTTTGATGGATGATTTTGTTAACGTGAAAAAGAAGATTTGTGAAATAAAAGTCTAAAAATGTTTAGTATTTTATTTTTAAAAATGAAAATATCCTCGGTTAAATTAAAATAATAGAATCCTTCAAATTAATCTTTGTTTTTCGCTTGCAATCAAATTATTTTCTTGATTAATAAATACGTAAACAAAAACTGGATTTCTTCCTTTTATTGCGATGTCTCCTTTCGAAGGCTGGCTATCCAAATGGTAATTGTAGCTTTGGAACCTGCTGTACAAAAGATTTCTGTGAATGAGCGGTCAAACCCTCTCCTTAGGTCTTTTAGCCACGAATTCTGGCGTCTTCCAACTCACCTTTTTGGGGGACTATTTTGTTATAATTTTTTGTGCTTTATCCATATTTGGTAGACACCTTTTAATATACACATTAGTTCAATTGTTTAAGTTGATTAAAGCAGATTAATCTTCATCTACAAAATATAAGATATATTGTATATACAGTGCTTTTCAGATAAAACTATCCACCTTAAATAACTTTTGAACCTCTAATTTTTTGGAAAAACGCAAAAACACGTCAATTAGTATCTGAAGGGGGAGACATAATATCATATTAAAGGTTGCTGGAAAATGCACCCTCTCACCCCCTCTATCAACCCTTTATTTTTTTTAAATTACTTCCCCCTTTTTTTGTTTTATATTTGGATTCTCCTTTTTGTTCTGATTTCAAAAATATATAATACCTTTGGCTTGAAGTGATTAGTTTATCAGATAGACAATTTTCCTGTTAACAAGATAGTATCTCCCTCACCTTAATTGACTCTAACAAAATAGGTTGTAGCATAATTTAAACTCTTTAAAAATTTAACCGTACTATTTGTAGTACCTTTAAAAAGTAAGAAACAAAAAAAAATCACTTTTTATTCAAGTTTTATCAAAGGTTTTCGATATAATTTTTACATTTGTTTTAATCGGTTAATAGCGACAATTTGTTATACCTAACTTGAAAGTAACAGCTTATTTTGATATGTGTGCAATTTGATCGCTGAAATGGTGTACACTTTGCAAGAAAGAATCGAAATTGTAGGTTTATACTACAAAAATAATAATTGTGCAAGAGCTGCTGCTAGAATTTTTAATGAAACACACCACAATAGACATGCAACTCATAAGTGTGTGATTGAACTGATGCAGAAAAAATTAGATCAAGAGGGTCAGTTTGCAATAAAAAACATAACCGACAGGGTAAATAAAAAAGCAATCCAAGTTAGCTGTTTTAGGGCAAGTTAACTTAGACTCTTAACAATCACAGTCACTGTCAACAATAAGCAGAGCAATCGGTGTTTCATCTTCTACAGCCTTCCGAGTCCTCCATAAATTTAAGTTTCATCCATATAAAATTAAATTAGTACAAGAGTTAAATGAAGAAGATTTTGATCGTCGTCCCGAATGTTGCGAATTAATGATAAAATGCATCATTAACAATCCACAATTGTTAAACAATATTTGCTTCTCGGATGAATGCTCATTCTCATTAAACGGTTTGGTAAACAGATATAATTACCGATACTGGGCTGAGAGTGATCCACATATTGTACGCGAATTTCACACACAGCATCCTTAAAGGTTAAACGTATGGTGTGGTATCCTACGTAATCACATTATCGGATCCTTCTTTATCACTGGAAACTTAAATGGTGTATCGTATCTTGAACTATATAGGCAAGTGGTTGATAATTTTTAAACGAAAAGTTTCTCGGTCCTTGGATAGGTAAAAGACGACAGATGATCGATTGGCCACCTAGGTCACCAGATTGAAAACCCCTAGACTTCTTCTTATGGGAGTATTTAAAAACAAAAATTATGTTACTCAACCAGAATATCTAGATGATTTACAACAAAAAATAGAGGATGAATGTCGACAATTAAATGCAGACGTGTTAAGCAATGTCAGAGAAGAATTTCAAAATAGATTGTACTATTGTATGGAAGTGAAAGGCACATTTTGAACAATTATTGTAAAAATTTTTAGTAGTGAAATGTTTGTTCTAAATGTGTGTAATAAAATTGTGAAAAAATAATTTTTTTCAATCCAATTTTCTTGCTTTTGTATTTACTTTTCTCATAAACTAATCACTTCAAGTATCATGTATTATACATTTCTGAAATCAGTACAAAAAGGAGAATCCAAATATAAAATAAAAAAAGGGGAAAGTAATTTAAAAAAAATAAAGGGTTGATACAGGGGGTGAAAGGGTGCATTTTCCAGCAACCTTAAATATGATATTATGCCTCCCCCTTCAGATATTAATTAAAGTGTTTTTGCGTTTTTCCAAAAAATTAGAGGTTCAAAAGTTATTTAAGGGGGATAGTTTTATCTGAAAAGCACTGTATATATTGCATTGGTTTGTAGTTGCCTTACATTGTTTTATACTCTACACAATACTCTGAATTATTTCACTCTGTTGAGGTTTTTTTTATATTATGTAAATTTCTTATTTAAGTGAATTCATTTTTTTTATTCTTCTCTTCCATATCAATATTTTATTAACGAATATTTGGTCTTGTGAGCATATTTCAGTTCAATTAATCTGACTTTAAATTACCTTGTATATCATTTATTTTTTTAAAATGTTTTTTGTTAGTTTTACCTGTTATTCTTCTTGTAATTTTTAGTGTATATATGTGATAAGTAGTACGGCGCTATAATATTGTACCAAGTCTTTAATTAAACTTTCTAGTTATCTAACTCGAACATATACAATGGTACCACAAGCCTATATAAATAAACTACAAAATTTTTAATTAACGCGAAATAGTAATACAACCACATAATAAAACATTAAGATAAAATCTAGCCTACGCCCATGACAAGTACCATTGGTGTGTGTGTCGTCATCGAAATTTATAGAATCAAACCCGATTAAGATGGATGTTGTTCGTTCAGGATTCATTCATACCCAATGGCTTTTCAGGTAGGTCATTAGTCAAATCAAATTTGCCCAAATTTGTCGGATTAAGTTTTTTTAGTCGTGTGGGTCTTGCGGGGATCGGTCAAAACATTTCAGTTCGCGGAATGATGTATCTTTAATGGAACATTTCAAGATTAGGAACTAGTTTAATATGAAAATAATCTACCTGTAAATTGACAAAACATTTTACGGGATTAAAACTTTTATCTACCCATTGGCATTTTTGCCAGTAGGTCGATATTAAGCTCCAATAATCTCTCAAATACAAAGACAAAGTGACAACCGAGGTATCATCCCCATTGTTAAGTATTGAAGGATCACTTATTTTTCTTCCTCTTTATAAACAATTCTGCTTGTTCATTGGCGGATTAATGAAAGATTTACCTCTATGAATGGTTGTCACTCCATCTTTTGCCGGGTCCGGAAATATATATACACCATTCGTAGACAGGAACCACACAGACAACAACAAAGAATACGGAGAAAAAATAGAAAGAATTACGTACACCTTAGACATTCTAGATAGCGAGAGCACACAGTTACTTTACTCCTGGAGACTAACACAAAAACTACAGGAATCACACAGATCAACGACGAATAAATAGGAACATATAAAAACTGCATGAAAGACGAAGCGCTAGAAGCCTTAGGACCACAGGTATGGAGACTAGATACACCATATTGGCGGGATAAAGAAGTGGAAGAAAAGATAAAAAGAAAGAAGAAAGTAAATCAAAAGTTATTACAACATGGAGACGAACAAACAAAACAACAATATAAAAACTTGAATAAAGAAGTCAAACAAGAAGTGGTTAAAAAGAACAATAGTCCATGGGAACAAAAATACCAATACAACCAGACAACCATATAGGGGGGACAAAGAGCTCTGAAGCCTGGAGAACTATAAAAACGATGATAACAAATACAAAAAGCAAGTTATAATAAATAGAATACCAGAGAACACATGGGTAGGGCATTTTGAGAACTTATTAACATAGAGAAAAGAAAGGTTTAACAGACAAATGAACAAGTGGAAGTAGAAGGAAGAATAGAAATATCAATAGAACAAGTAAAAGAAGCAGTTAAGGGAATGAAATTAAGAAAATATCCAGGCCCAGGCGGAATAAATCCAGAGTTGATTAGGTATGCATCATCAAAACTGTTTGAAATGATCCAAAAATTATTCAAAAGATGCTTAAACGGAGAAGAAGATTCAGAAGAATGAAGACAATCGCATATCTCTCCAACATACAAGAAAGGCACAAAGACGGATCCTAAAAACTATACAAGGATCGCAGTAATTGCTACTATAGGGCGACTATACTCAAAAGTACTACGAAACCTGATAGAAAATGATATTAAAGACAAACAACCCGAAAAACAAGCGGGATTTAGGGCCGGACGCTCCACTATGAAACAGAGTATGAAATACTTAGGAGTGTGGATTACGGAAGGTCTGAATCAGAAATCAGAAATTTGCTCAAGAATAGAGCAATCAAGAGCAGCCTTTTTAAAGTTGAGGAAATTTGTGAGTAACCAAAAATTCAATTTGCAAATCCGATATCGGATGGTAAAATGTTATAAATATTAGAGTGGATACTCTATTCTTCTCTGATAAGAATCTAATGAGAAAACTGGAAGCTTTTGAGATGTAGCTTTTTAGGAGAATTTTGAACATACCATGGATCGATCATATTAGAAACGAAATGGTGTTGCACAGAATGGGAAGAGACAGAGAACTTTTTACCACCGTTAAAAGGCGAAAGGCAGCATATTTGGAAAACATACTTAGAAATGATAAGTACGAATTGTTTCAGCTGATTTATTCTTCTTAGATTGCCATATCCCTACAGAACATCGGCGACTACCATGCTTATAATATTGTTATACTGATCTCGGTCTTGCGCTACGTGTAGCAATTGGTCCGCTGTCAAACCTGTCCACTGCCGCAAATTCCTCAACCAAGAGAGTTTCTTCCGTCCTATCCATTTCTTTCCTTCGATTTTACCGTTGAGAATTAGCCGAAGGAACTCATATTTTGGTCCTCTGATTATATGTCCAAGATATTCTAGTTTACGCCTCTTAATAATATTTAATAGAGTTCGTTGATGTCCCATTCTTCGAAGAATTTCTTCGTTTCTGGTTCTGCTAGTCCTTGGAATTTTTAGTATCCTTTGATACAACCACATCTCAAACGCCTCGATTTTATTCATGATATCGGCGTTTAAAGTCCAAGTTTCACATCCATACAAAAGTATAGTCGACACGTAACATCTTGTAAACTTTTCACGGATTTCCAAATCTAATGAGTTTTTGGATAATAGAGGCTTTAATTTTTGAAATGAGTTTCTTGCCTGTTCAATTCTACATCGAATTTCGAAGGATAGATCTAGATTTTGGGTAATCCAACATCCAAGGTATTTGAATCTCTGAACTCTCTGCAGCGGTTGTTGGTTTAATATCAGTTGGGTTGCGCCGATATCCACTTTACTGGTCACCATGTATTTAGTTTTATCGATATTTATCGACAGTCCCCAATTTGTGCATTTCATGTCAACTCTATTGATTAGCTCCTGCAGATCGTCGATGTTTTCAGCTAGAATCCTCCTATGATAATTCCTTTTTGATCTTTTAAAGCTTCCCTAAATAGATTCTCAGAATACACGTTAAAGAGGGTGGGAGATAGTATACAGCCTTGTCTTACGCCTCGTTCAATACTGATTGGCTTTGATTCTCTGTTATTGGTATTAATAATGGCTGTTTGGTTCCAGTAAAGTTTGGCAATAAGTTGATGTCTTTCTCATCTAGTTGGATGCTCTGCAAGGCGGTAATTAGTCTGGTATGCTGAACGCGATCAAATGCATTTTCAAAATCAATGAAGCACATATATACGGGTTTTCTTACCTCCCAACATCGTTGAAGGACTGTTTGCATAGAAAATAGTGCTTCTCTAGTTCCAAGGCATCTCCGGAACCCGAACTGCTTTTGACTAATTATTTTTTCGCACTTGTTAATTCGGTTTAGAAGAATATGCAACAGTATTTTAACGGCATGGCTCATTAAACTAATGAGTCTACAATCGCTACATTTCTTAACGTTTGGTTTCTTAGGTAGAGGAATAAAGATCGATTTTAACCAGTCCGATGGAATTTCACTGGTATCATATATTTGATTGAAGAGTACAATGAGTTCTCTTATATTGTCATTTGAGAGTAATTTTAGCCATTCGCTGTATATTTGATCTGGTCCACTGGCTTTGTTGTTTTTGGTTTAGTGTATAGCTTTTTCCACTTCAGCTTTTAAGATTGATGGTCCTGTATTTGCACTTAAATTAGGTAGTGATCCTCGATCATCCTTAAATAATGCTTTAATGTAGTTTTCCCATTCCTCCATTACTTCGTCTTCTAGAGATAGTGCATGACCTTCATTATTCGTTTATATTATGGGTGTATTTCTTTTGTGTACTGTAACTTCTTTTATTTTTTTATGTGTGTTAAATTCGTCATGTTTTCGTTGCAATTCTTCTAGTTCCTCACATTTTGCTCGCATCCATAACTCTTTGGCTTCCCTGATTTTTCTTCGGATCAGATTATGCTTTCGTTTATACTCTGAGTTATTTCTATTTTTAAGCTGTCTTCTTTCGTCCATCATTTCGATTATTTCATCTTTCATCCACGCTTGCTTTTTATAATGGGTGACAGTTCCACTTTGCGTTGCTGTATCGATAATACTATTCTTTATTTTATCCCATCTTTCTTCGAATGTTGGTACATTGTATACTTGTGTGATGTTGTCTCGAATTTTTTCGTTCATTGTCTGTTCAAAGTGATGTTTAAGTTCTTCTTCTTTTAGTTTTTGTCTATCGTATTTCTTTGTAATGAATGGCTTTTTGATTGTCTTTAATTTTCAGCTTATTATGAAGAGTAAAATCGAAGGAAAAAGGGGTTCTGTAAGACGACAAATATCCTGGATGAAAAACATTAGCGACTGGACCGGGTTAAACACAGTCGCTCTTCAAAATAGCAGAAGATAGAGACGAATTTCCAATGGTTATAGCCAACCGTCAATAGCAGAGACGACACTAGAAGAAAAAGAAGAATGCTCTTTTGTAAGAGTCGGCTGCAAAAGAGCGTCTTAAGTACCCATACCGTTTTGGAACTCAAACTGCTTATCACCAGTTATCCCCTCACAAAGTGTGTATATACGACAATGCAATATTTTTGTTAAAATTTTAAGCGTGTGACTCATTAAACTGATAAGGCGATAGTCCATATACTGTATGGTCTTTCTTTTCTTGGACATAGTTATATTAAGCTATAACTTGTTAAGGAAGGAGGTGATAATCGTGTAGCGTTTTAAATTTTGTAGTTCACACCTGAATTTTATATAAATATTTTTGTCTTTATTTACATTCAAATCTCCTAAATCTCTGTATACATTGTGAGGTAGAAGATTTTCAAATTCCGGTTAAAACTAGGACGTCAAAATAATCAATATAATACGTGTTATTTCTCCAATCCTTCGAGGAAATATATCTCTATCTAATCAGCCTTAAACGCCCACTCTTGGGCATAGGCCTCCCCTGTTAATCTCCATTGGTCTCTATTTTGGGCAATCTACATCCAGTCCTTTCCTGCCGTTCTCTTAAGGTCGTCAGTCCATCTCATCTGTGGTCTTCCTCTTTTTCTTTTCTTTTCCCATGGTCTTCAGTGTAGAATTCGCTTATTCCATCTTTCATCTTTTTGCCGGAGAGTGTGACCGGCAAAAGTTCCATTTAAGTTTTGCAACCTGTCTTGATACATCGTTCACCTTTGTTTTTTCTCTGATCCATGAGTTTTTTTTCCTGTCTTTAAGACTGATACCCAGCATCTATCTTTCCATTGCTCTTTGTGTTTTGGATATTCTGTCGATGTTCTCCTTTGTGAAAGTCCATGTTTGTGAGCCATATGTGATAACTGGTAAAATGCACTGATTGAATACTTTCGTTCGCATATATTGAGGGAACTTTTTATTTTTTAGAATATATGATAGTTTACCAAATGAGGCCCATGCTAGTCTAGTTCTTCTTTTTATTTCTTCTGTTTGATTGTTCCTGTTCAGCTTTATTATCTGTCCTAGGTATATGTATTCTTTCATTTTATTCTGTCAATTTATTCTGTTTGACTACTATTTCTAATTGGTCTTCTTGGTTTGTCATAGTCTTGGTTTTACTATAGTTCATCTCTAGACCTACCTCTGTCGCTTTTCTATCTAGTTCCTCAACCATCTTCTGTAACTCTTCCTTCTTATCCATCCTCCATTTATTCTTATTCCGTATGTATCCCATTCTAATTTTTTAAATATGTCTTCCATAGCCTGATTAACAATTTTGGTGATATTGTGTCTCCCTGCCTGATTCCTCTTTCGAATTTTATTGGTTCTGTAGCGTGTTCGTTCGTCAATTTTATTGTGGTACTCGCATTTTTGTATATGTTTGTTGTTAGGTCCGTGTACCTGTAATCAATTCTGCCGTTCTGTAGTGAGTTTTTGATGGCCCAATGTTCTATGCTGTCAAGCGCCTTTTGGGAAGTCTATGAATGCATGTATAATGGGATTTGATACTCGTTCGACTTTTCAATCAGTATTTTTACTGTTAGCAGATGGTCCGAGGAAATATTTGAAATAAAACTTCTAAACATAATTACAAGCTTTTATTACAGATATTCCTTTTAGCTAGATTTAAAAGACCATTTATCATATAATAAAAGCTGGTTATCTAAACTAGCATTTTTAGCAGACATGTATAAAAAACTTACGAAAATTAGCCTGTCACTACAAAGAAAGACAGACAACAGTTTTCAATGCTTACAATAAGATAATTATATTTAAAAG